CAATGTGTTAACACTTAATTTGGACATGCATTTCAAGGTCCACTTTAGCCAGTCAATTACACGTGCGCGCACACACACATGTGCATGCCCATGCATGCACTTTCTCAGAGAAAACTATCACGAAAATTTCCTGAAAAAAGAAAGTAAATTTTGTGTGCATGTTTCCACGTTCATAAATTTTCTTAAATAAGTTATCTTTTTCACAGAGAAATTATGTGTAGATTGTGCTTTACAGTCCTCGATAACATCCCTCTGAATCACAATTTTTTCAAATATTGTCCTACATATTTCAGAAAACCTTTTATTCACCAAATGGAAATGGAGATTTTTATTGCCTTATGGGGTTTACCCTTTCTATTTAACAAACATATTTATTGCTTAGAGACTTTTAGAATTTGAACTATGCATGTCAAACAACAAGATTAAGGCAACTATGACGTCAAACAAATTTATATTATTGTATATCTAAGAATAATCAAAGTGACTATTCAACTAGCACTTTTTGTATCCATTATTTCATATATAGACATTTATTCTAGTTACACATACGTAAAACCAGAACTATCTATGACTGGATGTTCATCACATGTCCCCAAAGCTTTTGTTTTCCGCCAAACTACACGAAATCCCATTAAAGCTGCCGCCCTTCAAGACATGTATTGTCACCAACTAACCCACCCCCACCCCCCAAAAAAATAATAAAACAAGTCACTTAACATCTCTTCCTTAGTGAAACACTGAAAGCAAGATACCACTTTTCTATTGATCAAGAGTAGCTCATTTGTTATCTCATGCCCTGGTCATAGTGACGTGATTTCTATTATTAACTACATGCAAAATTGACATTTTATAATACAAAATAACAAAGGGTGTAAGTGATGGGGAAAAGGCTAGGGGCATCAAGAGATGGGAAAACAAATGTCATGCTGATTATTTGTTTCTTAGAGAAAACCTCTGATGGGGCTTTATATAGTTTATTGAGGCCTTAGTCGTATATAACCTACCACAAAATTTTGTCAAAATACAATGAAGATAAAAAAAAGGTAAAGATTCTAATGCTCTGCCACAGCTTTTGATGCATACGAGAAGTTGAGAACTAGTCTTTGCTACGTTCATCACTCATGACAATGATGTTGATGTTCTTTCTTTCTTCGGGTTAAAACTATATTATTATTACCATAAAAGCAATCTCAATTCTCACTTCAACGGAGAACTTTAACAAGAGAAATCATCCTCAAGGTCCCAGAACCTAATTCAAAAGCAAAGTAGCAGAAATTTTCTCTCCATAAATAGTAAATATATCCAAAACTTAAGAAACCTCAGTGCAACTTTTATCTTTTTGAGGCAACTCGTTGCAATTCAAGTTGAAAATTTGCATCTTGTAGAAAAATGTAGACATTTAACAAAATTCAGCATGAGATATAGGTTCTTTCTCCCAACTGAAAAGTCAATTGCCATAAGAACAGTTTGAGTATACAATTAAAACCATCACCACACCAGAGGTTCGGAAAAAGTGAAAGGGACTTCAATATGGTACCAAATCAAGCCAGTCAAAACTTCAAATCCAACTGGCCACGCATCTTAAACAAATTTAAATAAATAAAACAAGATACTGCTATGTGACATGAGCTGAGGTTTTTGACCTGTGAAAAGCATGCTCAATCTGGATGACAGAATATAAAATTATAGGGTAACTATTCTGAAATCCCTTCCAAGTTTGACAGCTTATTATGAAACTCCAGATTCATTAATTTTCATTTACAGCCCCCCTGCTGTTAAAAAGAAACTGTTAACATCCATTTAGTTTTTTTTTTCTTTTTTACCTAAAATACCGCTCAATAATCTGCTTTTCTTCCCCAAACATTTGCAAACCCCATCTCCCACATCTTGCAATCAAACCCAAGTACCAGCGACTGTTGACAAAGAGAAAATTACTAGAAGATGAAGGCGATCTCTTCAAACCCTTGATTTTAGCCTCCATTTGGTGCTATTTCCAATTACTTAGTCTATGTTGTCTTTGAGGTAAAGGAAAATGTTAAGGGGAATAAGGGAATAGTTTTAGAATATAAATGGGTTTTAAAAGTTCTATAATGGCGGAGGGTTTTGTAATGAAAAGATAAGGATAACAAGTTCCTAATAAATGACCAAACTTGAAGGATTTTCCATAATAGTTGCCCAAAATTATAAAGCTCGACCCTCACCATTAATTTGGGGCTTTGATGTAATGGAAGGGACTTTAATAAGATCAAACTAAATAGTCACCTAAAAAAAACTATGAAGCAGTTTAACCTCAAGCTCCGATAACCTAGTTCAATCACATGGGTAAGATCCCAAGAAAAGAACTTTCAGCTCCTCCCCTGCCCAAGAAACGACTTTGTCAACAAGATGACCGGGTCAAAACCAAGCTGAATAAGTTTTCGCCACAATTCCTCTCCATAAACAGTTTAAACATAAATAAAGTCATCAACTTTACCGTACTTTAGGTCAAGGAAAAAAAACCCCCTAAATTACAAAACTGCTCACCGCGAACAAGAGAATCGAGACGGCAGCCTGAACCGACTGCTGAAAGAGAACGCCGCGAACAACCGTCGCCTTCGAGATTGAGTTCATGGACTCCTCATCTTTCCTCGAGTGCATCCGATACCGATCCAAATCGTTGAGGAGACAGTACAATCCCGAGTAGAGCCAGTAGATTCCGATGGGGATGAAGGTTCCGATGATCTCTTCGGAGAAAACCCCAGCCCAGAGTCCCTCAGCAGCTAATCCCATCGAAACCCTAGAAAGATTCGCGCTTTTTCCAGAGGTTTCGGGTGTACCGCGGAGAGTGGGGAGGAGGCTTTAATGCGCCGGGTCGGCGGCTATAAGATGTGCAGGTGGTGGGCCCCCGAGGTCCGTGTCAGGGTGGTTTATTGAGCGTCTCTGGAGACAGCGGTGAATGGGTGTGGCTAAGGGGCTATTGGTTGTACGTGGTGGCTTGTAAAGTGATTTCATAAAAAAAAGACATGATTTTAGGAGAAAGCTGACATTGAAGTGAGGAAAAAATAATTCTAACCAATATGACCATTTAGGGGCTGTTTGTTTGTATGTTTTTACTATGTAAAAGGATGAAAAGTGAAAAAAGTGGGTCTCAATGCCAGCTTTCATCACTTTACATTGTTTGTTTAAATTCTCTTTTACATGAAAAGCTTACACATTTTCGATGGATAAATTCAGGATAGTCACCGTACATTGTCTTTCATCATCCATGCTAAAGGAGGTGCCTCTGGCTAAAGACATGTTTCTGATTTTTGCAAAGTTCTCCTGTTATGAAGCTGGAGTTCTATTAACAATTCACGGACAAAATGGCTTTTATGCACCTTAAGTCTGTAGGCTATATCTAAAATGACGAAAAACAAGGGAAGGAGAAAAAGAAGGATAGAAGACGGAAGACAAAAAATAGCAGAAAAGAAAAGCAAAAAAGATGACCACATAAGTAAAAGCAAAAGAGAGTTAAAGATATGATTGTTAAAAAGGGGCGTAATAATTAATTTTTAAAGAAGGAAGACTTGAATAATTATAATTTTTAAAAATGTAAGACTTGAATAGCAAATCGCGCAATTCAACATGACAGACTCCTAGCGCATGATGGGCATATCATAGAAAGGTTGCGCTGCAAAATCATATTATTTTCAGTTTTATTTTATTTTATTTTATTTTATTCTCCAAAAAGCCACCAAGTATCTTTGCATCAAATAAGATTAGTGTGAATATTTTTTTCCAGCTACAGTAACCTCATTTTAACAGTTACAGTTATTTTTTTGGAATTTTTGGATTGCTACGGTGTCCCGTTTTTGCTATAGTATTCACGTGTGTTATAGTGGTTTTTTCAAAAAAGACTCTTTCCTATTTCATGTTTGCTACAGTAAATATTACTATATTAATATTACTATAGCATAAATAGTGAATCTTGGGTTCTCCCACTTGTACAGAGGAATAGATAAGGGCTCTGTTTGGTAAAACTAGCTGTTTGGCAAAAGAAGTTGTACAACTAGCTTAAATTTGTTAAATGACTAAAAAGGACATGCAATATTATTGATATAAAATTAAAATTATTAGGGACAAAAACGGAAGATGAAAAATTGACAGCTCTTTCCCAAAGACAAACGCTACTTGAGGTAGCTTTCCAAAAGCTACTTGCAAAAGACACAATCTTCAAAATAATCTCCTCCTATTTTTGGTCACCAAACAGCTCTACTAGCTTATTGACCAAGTCAACAAGACACAATCTTTTAGATAAGACACAATCTCTTGTTGCCAAACAGTGCCAAGATAAACCGCCAACAGCTTCCCCACATGAGCTTCCAACTCTATGCTAGCCCAATGGGCCTACTTACTTAATGGCCCATTAATAACCCAAGATCTGACGACTACATTTGGACCCCCCCCGCCCTCCCAACCCCACCACACTTCCTGTCCCCATCTTCTTCCATCGTATATAACCGATTTCAAAATCTCCGAATAAAATAATAAAAAATTCGCCCCAGGGTTCTCCTCATTTTGGCGCTCGAGAGCAGCTCAGGCGACCGCCTCGAGGTTCGAGACGACGCAGATCTACAACTCGGTAAGTTTCTCTCTCTCTCTCTCTCGCTCGCGCGCGCGCTCAGATCGGGTCCCTCCTTGATTCGGTTACTCGCTGCATCCTCTCTCATCCTAGGGTTTCGGAATTCGCCGCCCAATTTTTGTTCGGAATTGTGTGCAATATTCTTGTTTTTTCCCGGCTAATTTTGGTGATTATTTTGGAGAAATGTGGTTTTCTATAACAAGAGCGTGCCTTTAATTATTTCTTTCCGTTTTGTTTGGTTCTGCCAATAATTGCTCTCAGCTATCTGTTTGCAGCAGTTGACGGCAATAAATTTTTTTTTTTGTCGGGTTCCGAGCCGCCCAAAACAAACTCCAGGAGAAGAGCGGTAGTCCTGATAGAGAAGAAGTTGGAGAGCGAGGGAGGTAAAACGGGGTAACTGGTCGCAAATGGGAAGGATTTGATCCATACAATAAGGGGAGAGTCCGTGCTTGAAAGGCCGAGAGACCCGTCGCTTTTGAAGAAAGGATTAGTCACTTCTGCCAGCATATCTCCTCGTAGGAGGAAGCCGGTACCCAGACCCGAGAAACCCAGGTGGCAGACTATTCTCAGTGTTCTCGCCAAGAACTGCCTGCTCCTCGCAGCTCTCTTATTTCTCGGCCAGACGATATGGAAGTGGGCTGACAAAATTCAGGATCCTACTCGTAATGCATTTCTGAGTTCGGAGCGTGAGGGTCGTGTTTCGGAAGTTGAGACCTCTTTGAGGAGCATGGGAAAGATGTTCCAGGTTCAATTGGAGGTTTTGGATAGGAAAATTGGAAACGAGGTTGGGATTGCGAGGAGTGAAGTGATGAAGCAAGTTGAGGAGAAAGGTGCCTTGTTAGGAAAGGAGCTAAAGAGTTTGGTCGCAAAAACTGACAGTTTGGACAAGTCCCTCAGCGAATTCAAAGACATGGGTTTCGTCTCAAAGGAAGAGTTCCAGGAATTTTGGGATGAGTTAAGGAACAGTGAAAAAATTGATGGTAGTGATAAAGAAGTGGATTTGGACAAGGTTCGGGCCTTTGCGAGGAATATTGTTGAAAAAGAGATAGAGAAGCATGCTTCTGATGGTCTTGGGAGGGTTGATTATGCTTTAGCATCTGGTGGGGCAAGGGTTATCGAGCATTCACAACCTTATCGTATTGGGGGAACTGACAGCTGGTCTGCTGCTCTTAAGCGTCGACGTGGAGTTCATGGTAATGCACATAAGATGCTGGAACCAAGTTTTGGGGAGCCTGGCCGGTGTTTTGCTTTGGAAGGGAGCTCTGGATATGTTCAGATAAGGCTTAGAACTGCAATTATACCCGAGGCTGTCACACTTGAGCATGTGTCAAAGGTAATGTTCATTCTCTATGTTCCTTTTACTCTTGACATCTTGGACTTTGTCAGTCAATTTCTATTTTTGTTTTTGTTTATAAAAAATTTCTGCTGTTTAAGCAAAGATTAACATTTTGATGCATTAATTTAATGCATGTCGAATCTTGAATCATGTAGGCATTAGGCAGTGGTATTGATGACGAAAAATGGGTTAAACTTTCCAGGCTTGGCTTTTTAAACATTACCTCCAATATCTATTAGATATGTCAGCGGGTACCGTTCTTTCTCTTTTTAAACTTGTGGCAGTTGTATGTTGAAACATTAGACATTAGAGAAGCATGGGGAAGTGAAGGAAAATAGCACTGGCTTAGCCTTGAATCATGACCCACTGCCTGTAAGTTATTAAGTGGGTTTAACCAAGTTTATAACTTAAAAATGGCAGGGTTGGGGGTTCAATCTAACCCTTCCAATTACCTCTTTTTCTTTGACACTGCAAAACTCTGAAAAGTCCTCCCTTCTTACTCTTTATTGATCATCTTTGAATTTTCTGTGTGTATGTGATATGCATCACCCTACAACATAAAAGTTCATGTAATGATTCAGAACATCGATGGTGGTGTATTATTACGCTTTGGTTGATGTGGCAAACCAGAAGTATGAAGAAAGTGGATGAAAGTGAAACCATAGGAAGATGCCTGTCAATGGAGTTGTTGATTTAAGATGGAAAAATGGAATGATACGTACAGGGCCTACAGGCTAACTATTATTTGTGTGTTTGTTGATTCACAAGCTAAATATAAATGGATGTCTCTTGTATTAGTCAGCTGCTATATGTGTTCTTGGGGAATATGACTAGAAATCATACTTGTAGGATGGAAGATGTACGTTCCTTTTTATGGGAGTAAATACCATATAGCTTTGAAACTGGATATATCTGTTGGGGGTAGATGGTGCCCTTGATGCCCATGATAGGAGGATATATGGTCCAGGTTGATGTGTCTTATGGTGAAGCTTGTCTATCTGTTTAAAGTCATGAGTTGGGAATCAGAAACATTATCAGCCACTTGTGATATATAAAAGGAAAATGTCAAAGATGACAAAATAATGAAGTGGTTGAGTAATATCATACGAAGAAATGAACTAGTAGAAACTAAAAAATGGAAGAAAAGAATAAGTAAATAAATAAATGATCTTGAATAGGTGGAAATTATGGATTGGGGGTGTGTAAATTATGAAGATAGATACGAAAAAAGAGGATATCACATGGTATCTACAGTAAATTATGCCCATCAGAAAGGCCTCTTCAACGATATCTTTGACCAATTATATTGAGAATCTAAGATAGGCCATAGAAGCTAAAAAGAACTAAACTAGCACCAAGCCAAGGGAGTTGATGGTAAACCAAACAACTGATTGAAAGTTTCCTCCTGGTACTGCCTTTTTCAGCTACTGATAGCAAAGGCATTTTTCTTCATCTAATGGAGTTAACAAGACTGGTTTTCGCTTCATTGGCCATGCCAAGTTTGAGCCCAGATGTAGGTCGATGGAGCTAAATGCCAAACTTCAGTTTTGAATTGCATCTTGTGGTTTGGGGCACTTTACAATGAAAAACTTTTTGATCCAGAATCATATGCTTATGCTACATCCAATTCCAATATGTTTTCATAATCGCTATTGATGCATATAAGATATTGAAACAATTTTCCATTCTATCGGTTATAGGATGGTTGTTATATGGTCCCATAGACTGAAGCATGTTTCCCGGTAATTGACAAGCGCGAGCATGTGCCCACACCCACAAATATAGAAAAAAGAGAGGGAGGGAGGATTATATATCAAATAAGCTGTTAGAATGTAAAAGGACAAATTTTTAAAATCACCCTTTTTGCCATTTTATACAGCAAAATCGACCCCATGTGAATATATTCAGCAAAATCGACCCTTTTCTTCTGAAAAGGGTCGATTTTGCTGACTGAAAAATTTTAAGATGAAATTGCACGGGACTAGCAGTCCCGTGCAATGGATTCCTTTACCCGTGGTAATTTTTTTTTAAACAAACGAATCTTTCATTCTCTCTCTTCATCTCATTCTTTCTTCTTCTCTCTCTCTCCTCCATTCCCCAAGAAATCCAACCCAGCTCCTCCACTCTCTCTTCGTTCTCCTTCTCTCTCAACCCGCATTCCCAGCTCCTTGAGCTTCGCCCACAGCCGTCGAGCTCCAGCCGAGCCCATATATCGCGGGCCGTCGACCTCCACCTCAGCACTCTTCTCTCGCCTCTCCGCCACGCATCTCGCAACCAATCGTCGCTGTCTGGGCTTGCCGTAGGTGGGAGAGGTTGCCCGGGGTCGTCGGGGTGTCTCGGTGGGGATCCGGTGGTAGGAGCTGGAGACGTGGCTGTGCGTCGAGCAGGCGAGGTTGATGAGGGGTGAGAAGAGCTTGTGAAGGGTCGTCGTGCTGCACGAGCTTGAGGAGTTGGACGGCGGTTGGTTGTCGTCGGGTCTGGTCGGCGTGTGTAGAGGAGGAGGTGATGGGGAGCTTTGGTGGCGGCGGTGGTTGAGGCGGAGGTCGGTGCTGGTGGAGGGCGCGACGGTGGAGTGGCGTGTAGAGGAAAAGGAGGATGCGTCGTCGAGTTGAACATCGGGGTTCGGGCTTGGGCGTGGTGAGTTACG